CAATATTATCGTTTATCGCAATAAATTTTGAGACAATTAATCGCCCAGCAAAATTTGTTATCGTGACAGGCCTACGAGCAGCACAAAAATCACTGTTTTTCTGTAATTAATAGTAATTACGGTAGTTTAGAAGAAAGTTTTACTGTAGTCGTACATGTGCGCTTTTTCACCTGTGGAGTACTTCACACCTCTGTGAGGAGTGTTACTGAAAAGTTCGATGAGACCTGGTTTCAGAGACTCTGATTGCAGTGACATGTAAACGAATGTCTGGATTGCAACAAAAGTTTCGGTTTCACTGAAAACCAGCTCTGTGTAAACGGTCCTTAAGACTTAACTCTATTGTAGAAATTTACATTTTCTACCTTTTTGTTACGTAGAATGAAACTTGCAAACGTTCAGTAAAGTCATAGATGAAACTGCCTTTTTTTTGTGTATTTTTGCTTATTTTTCTGCATCTTCATTACAGTGTGGAGAGGTATGACCCTAGCAAGGATGCCTGGGAAATGGTAGCCCCCATGGCAGATAAGAGGATTAACTTCGGTGTGGGCGTCATGCTCGGCTTCATATTTGTGGTGGGAGGACACAATGGAGTGTCCCACCTGTCCAGCATTGAGAGGTATGATCCTCATCAGAACCAGTGGACGGCCTGCCGGCCTATGAATGAACCTCGAACTGGTAAGATTTTTTTTAAATAAACTATGTTGTTGGTGGATTTGGGGATTTTTGCTTTTGGAAAACAAAAGATATTTCTTGTAAATGACCGTGTTTTAATCGCAGTGTAATTTTTTTCTCTCAGGTGTGGGCTCTGCCATTGTGGACAACTACCTCTATGTGGTAGGAGGCCACTCTGGGTCATCCTATCTGAACACCGTGCAGCGCTACGACCCGATCTCAGACAGCTGGTTGGACTCGAGCGGCATGATGTACTGTCGTTGTAACTTTGGTCTGACGGCTCTTTGACCCTTGGCAAGGCCAGCCAGGACCCAGTAAAACAACTTTAGACACAAAGACTTTTCTTTTTTTTTTTTGTTGTCTGCTCCTCTGTCCCTCACGTTCATTCTCCAGGTGCAGACGCTCTTTTAGCTGCACGCCTGTAGGAACAACAGAGGGCTTACTGGTGGGGGGTGGATGTGTACGGCTAGCTGGCTGGCTGGTTAGAGGTGCCCTGCATGGCTGCAGAGGAGAGGAGGAAGAGCATTAAGATAAGGCAAATAAACGTGGAAAACCTTCGGCGCAGGCTGTAGAGACGACCGCTCCTCCGCTGCCGGACCACTATGACTTTGAGCCATGTTTCAGAAGATTGTGGGAAAATGTTTCAAAGCTCTGTTACGTTAGCAGATTTTTATTTTTTATTTTTTGTTTCGTCGTTAGGTTTCAAGCTTATCTTTAGTTTTTTTGCTGCAGTCAAATTTCTGTGTTCAAACGTAGAACACTGCAGTTTGCTTGTGTCTTTGTAAGAGTATGTGGTGTCGGATGTGTAGTGTGTATAATCCAGGGGTACGTGCATGTCAGATAGGACTGTTTGTTTTGTTACGTGTCTGCGTGCGGAACTGATACTCGAGCTCAGTGCCGCAAAGAGTTTTGCATCCAAATCAGTGCTTCTCAAAAAAAAAAAAAAAAAAGAAGAAGAAAAAAAGCGAAGTTATAAACTTTATATTTTCTCAAAGGGCTGCCTTACTTGTGTAAATAGTATAAATGAAAACTATAGATATGAATATATCCTCTAGTGCATTTGCCTGTAAATGTTTATCTGCACTGGGTCATGTGTGTGAATGCATCGGGTGTGATTCCTAGACGTGGGTTTCACCCCCCAAGTTTTTATTTAAAATTTTCTGTACTTGTCCCCGCTTCATCCTTAAAGCCATTTGAAAGAATTCCTGTTTTTACATCTTTCTAAGGTCAGGTCATGCAATTGCTGATCTTTATAACGGTTGAACTTGACCTTGGCCCCTTCCATTTGTCACCCTTCTGTCTGTCCACAATACTAACTGGTGCTATATTTAGGATTCAGGATTTAGCTGTTTGTTGTCCAGTCTCCACTACATGATTTAATTTGATGCTAGCAATTTGCTTTGTGGGCATTTAAATGCACAAAATCGTAAATAGCCCTTACCATGCAATAATAGAATGAAAAGAAAGAAAGTGGTCCTAAAATGACAAACTAATGTCTTATTTCATATAAGCCTGGAGATTAACTTTTTTTTTGGTTTTGATTAATTTCCCCTTTCCTTAAATGCTGACACTTGCTCTTTTATTGTGTTTACCCATCACATAAACCACCACCCTCGTGTGCTTTGATTGGTAGCTCCGTATTAAAGTATTAAAGGGACATATCGTGCAAAATCCTCTTTTTAGAGCTGGTAAATATATTTTGTTGTGTATTTGATGTCTCTAGGAGTGCAGAAAATTTTAATTTAGTCTCCCGATGTTTCATAGATATCTATTCTGTTTGGGTCAGATTCTTCAACCTGGTCAGTTTTCTTCATTTTCTATGTCGTCAAAGAATTTGCAGCATAATTGCCGAATAAGGTCTAGACTTACTACAATTTTGTTGTATTCATTCTCCTCTGGCTCTGGGTCAGACTCTGGCTCCACCATGTGAGGCTGGATGGACAAGTCTTCCCTTGTTGACATCTTTTAATTAGTTTGTAAAAGAAAAAAAAACACGTTTCTGTGCTGCTATATAGTCGTGAACCCCTCTATCAAACTGGAATTGACCAGTCTGGAAGCAGGGGTGTGTTTGAAGACCGTGTATGGATTTAAAGAGACAGCCTCAAAATGTGTTGATCTGAGACACACCCCAGAAAAGAGGTGAAAGAGGGGCTTGTGGAGTTACAGTAAGGAGGAATTCAGACCATTGCAGTTCCCCTTTATGTAGACCCCAACTGAATGATTTAAATGTGAAAAAGAAGGATTTAAAAGCATGATATGTCTCCTTTAAACCAATGGGTAGGTGCCAAACCATTTTTTTTTTTTGTTTAGCTGTAGAATCAACTTCCCCTCCGTGCCTCAGTGGAAATGTTCTCATGTKTCTTGCCGATGTCGTAGCGTCACATTCTTCCAACGTTGTCGTACGGATGTCAAAGGTTTAGCACCAAGGGCTGCACGAGCCAAACTCAGGCCAAGTCCCCCCCCCCCCGTCCTCAAAGAGACATCCGAGTGCACCCCTGGGTGTGTCCGGCACCGGCTGAGGGTGTCACGGTGCAGCCTCGGGGCTTAACACGTCAAGCTGCACACAGCAATAGCATAGGTTCAATCCTAAGAGGAGGTTTAGGYGTGGCATGTCCGGCTGAGTCACCGTTCTCTCTCTCTCCCTCTATCTCTCTCTATCTATCTCTCTATCTCGTCTAGTTTGAGTTGCTTTGTGCGCTGGCGTTTTGCACCTTACTGGAATCTTTAACCGAGCTCAGCTCTGCTCTGCACTTACCAAACCGTTAGTCGTCATTCSTTAATGTATTTAAGTGATTTAGATGATGCAATAAGATTTGGGTTTCGTCTTTGGATTGAATGTTTTGTCTCTTTAAAAAGCCAAGGCATCTCATGTTGCTGTAACAGAATCACACTCACACACACACACACACCTAACAGGTGTTGACTGGTAATCGTGGACGTCTAACGGATACATCGAATGAAACCGTTGACCTCGCTTCAACCTAATTCTGCGTTTTCTGCGATGTCATTTAGTTGGTTCGTTTTTTTTACAGAATGTGTTTACGTCGGTCACAATTCCACTGTTTCCACACCCAGGCCGTTTAAAAACTACATATTTCTATATAATCTGTCACTTTTTTTTGTTTCTTACTGAACGCCTGCATCCTTACGAGTACTTTAATTTGAATTTGTTGCGTAAGCAAATTAAGTTTAAATGTCATTTTTATTGACATGACGTCAACGTTTTTGTATTTGTATTTTTGTATGTTCTGTAACCAAAAATGTTTTTTTTTTCTTTTTATGTAGTCCGTTTAGTTCACTTTAGCACAGCACAAATATAAACGAGAGCTGCTGCCTTGGTCCGTCGAGCGTCGGTCGGACGTCTTTTTTGTTGCGATTCTACGCTAACTGCTACTACAGARCGTTTAGGAGAAAATCTGCAAATGTGAATCTGCAAAAAGAAGGGAGTTTGTATGCATTTCTTTGTGGAGACCTAACTTAATGTCGTGTTTTTTTGCCACAACTCTCACCAAAGTGCTTGTACAAATGAAGCAGGTGGACGACCTGACGACCTGGTCTGCGTTTGGCTGCAGCTCTTCTGTTCGTGTCTGAGAGAAAATGTTTGTGGAACTGATGTCAGTGTTTAGCCAAAACCACCACTCTGCTTCTTTTACATTTCCCCCCCATCGTGTGTCTGGACTGAAGTTGAGATTTGAATTTTTGTATCCTGTGGATTAATGCTGGAAGTACAAGATAACATAAAAAAAAACTGTAGCTTTTCACATTTTATCACTTTTGACTGAAGACATTTTATGTACTTTTTTTTGTCTGTTTGTGTGGTGCAGTTGTACCCAGTTTAAAATAAAAAGGCCTGCCTTAAAAGGTAGCATCTGCTCTTGTATGTCTCAAACTCTAACTTTTCTCCCTCGTCTGTTAGCAAAGAAATAATCGACTTTCCTAATTGATTAAAAATAACACATTCAGGAAATTATCAGTACATCTACAACTGACTTTTAGTCCTTCCGTTCAATATGGCCTCCACAGCTAAAAGACAAAAAAGTGGCTGTAAGCCTGTAACAATTTACAAATATTAAAAAATGAAGTGTGGGAGTAGCTAAYAGTCATTCTCAACACATTCTTTGAGCACTGTAGCGTCTTTATAATGTTTACAGGAATCGTGTTTTTCACAGTGGAGGCCACTACGGGAGCCTCAAAGCGGGAAGAAAGATGAGGATAAAATGCAAAAATAAAAAGCTTCGTCTGTTTGAACCCATTAAAAAATAATGTATTTTTCCAATCATTTTTAAATATTCATAATACAATGAAATGTCATTTATTTAAGAGAACTTCAGAGGTTTGTTTTAGTCAGGGGTGGAGCTAAGCTTTTTGCATGGGGTGGCCAAATTTTTTTAGGGTGGCAAAAATAAAAGCACTCTGGATTTTACAAATTCAAGATGGCCATCACAGCTAATTCCAAATGTGTTTAATGTGGTTGTTTCCGACATACAAAGCTGAACATTAGAGTTGAAGTAGACAGAAACTAACTTTGTTTAATCCTAAAAGCTAAACAAAAAATTCAAGATGTCTACCATAGCTAACATCAAAATCAAGCCAATTTAAGACTTAGAGATGAAATTTGTCGTGGAGTAGTTATGATCGCATGCCGATTACCGATGCTAATCCCAAATTAGGCTAAACACTGATGCTAATTTTACCAAGGGCTACAATTCAGCCATTTAAACGTATACTGCTAAAATGTAACATACAGTGATATCAGAGAACAATGAAACAAATTCTAAATGCAAAAACAAAATCCAAGATCCCCACCTTCTTGTCAGTTATTCGGGGGTGGCCAATCAGGTGCCAGAGGTGGCACTTGCCACCTCAGCATTCCCTGTGGCTCTGCACATTGACATTTTATTTTTCAATGGGAACATAAGTGTTTAAAACATTAAGAAATTTATACTAAATGTAATCATTTTTGAATATTGAATAAAAGTGAAAAACACTTTCTAAGTCGACGTTTCTTTATATATTCTGTAACATTGTAGGTTTGCAAGAGGGGTCCCCAGCCAGAAGCTAATGCTGTTTGGAGGGGACATGGCACGGGAAGGTTTTGAGAAGAAATGTTAACCTTTTAGTTAAAATAAGAATCCAGACACGTGTTCAAAAATATTTTTATTTTAAAAGACAATATCTACAGAAAATAGATTTCTCCCCTCGGAAGTTTAACACTCAACAAGACACTTGTCGAAGCGTTCCTTGGCAGAGGCACCRTGTGATACCAGGAGTTTTTGTGAGGATTAAAAGTTTTTTCTTTTTTTACAAAATAAGAAAGCTGAACTGCGGTTATCTCTGCAAATTGGTCGCATTTAAGCTCAAGTGCTTCAAACATAAAAAAAAGCAATTATTCCATACGTTCACATTCACACTTTGTACAAAAAAAACTTCAAACAGCTTCAACAAAACTTCAGCCTAACTTGGACTCTGACCGTGCTCCATCATTTCCCTTAGAGCACAGTGTAAAGCACCAGATTGATTTTTTAAAGTAGGGCTGATATGCATAAATGTAAAAGTAGAACAAGCACAATATTWTACGTTTGCTGGAAATGAGTTCAGATTCCAAACAGTCGTTACAAAATGGCTACTTTACCAGAAATCCACCTCATTTAGCAACCACTGCAGAACCATTTAACTTTTTAAAGGTTTACAATAAGACTGCATCAAAAACTACAAAACTGTTTTATTTATGATACTAAAAGTGCTTATCGCCCCAGAACTATTATAGTCCATGGTTTTCTTGGATTCCAAGCGTGCCCCGAATTAGAAGTAAATCTCAGTGTTTACTTTCAGCCACTCATTCTTACAGCAACATTTTCAGGGCATCAACTCACTGTAAATCTTAGCAGAAAAGTAAAATGAACATTAAAGAAATATAATGCCAATAATAGGAATTATGTCTGGGGACAAAAAAAAAAAACAACGTCTGGTGCATTTAATGCCTTTCTTCATGTGTTTGGTGTGACTTCTGGTCCACCTGTTCGTCACTTATCAGACGCACGGATGTAGACCAGAGAGGACAGCAGCAGGAGCTCCGGCGGTTTGTTCAGCAGGATCAGRTTATCACTTCTCAGACCATCGTAGTGCATCCAGCAGCCATCTATCTGGAAGGCTGCAGAGTAGTGATGCTCCTGCTTGTTGAAGAGTGTGGCGCCCTCTAGTAAGTATCTGCAGAAAAAATATATATTTAGAGTCATTGTGTCGAAAAAAAAAATCCTCACTGATTTAGTCAAAGCTCAAAGTTAAATGTGTTTTTTTAAATATAATCTATTTTCATTTGTTGTACTTTTATACTTATTTAAGCAAAAAGGAACATTTAAGGTTGAGTTATTGGGACAGTTCTGTTAGAGGAAAGCCACGTTTATGTTGAGAAAAGGTTAGATTCAGGTCATGGAAAATGCTATAGCTAGACCAAAGGGGGCGTGGCATACAGTTTGACTACAGAAAGACCCGCCCTAATACTAATGACTGACAGATCAGGCCTCCAATTATGGAAAAAGATAAATAAAGAGCTGCAATAGTTAAACGAAATCTTACAAATGTTGTTTAAGTATTACTAAAAACAAAACTTTTTAAAATCTTTTTTAGGTACGACCCTTTAGATTCTGTTATATTTAGTTAAGTTGATGTGCTTTTAAAAGATGATATCTCTGCTGGTAAGGCAAAATGCCATATGCTTTTTATTCAGTTTATTTCCTTTATAGTTACTCTGGTTGTTAAGCAAGTAGGAACAATTAAGATTGAGTCATTACGACTGTGTGAACTTAGTTTACAGTTCTGTTAGAGGAATGCTTGGTTAGTTGTTTTATTGTGCTTTTAAAGGTCTTTTGTTGTCCTTGTGCTGGCCCCCTTTTCCTTCTTTACTCTTCTTTTTAAACACAAAGCACTTTGGTAAAGTCCTGCTGTTTGTAATATACATTATAATAAATGTTTGAAGAGTCAAACTGAACACAGTACACACATTCAACACCCTGTTCGAACTGCTTATTATCGGAAATATTAGTTCAGGAAGAATTAYGGTAATGGCACATTTTAAGCCAAAAATTTACACTTTTCATGAAACCAAACTTAAAGTCACATCAAGAGAGGCACATTAAAATACAGCCAGCCTCGTTATTTATTATTTTTTCAATATATTGGACCAGCTCACACACTGTGGACGGGTCATACCTGTGCTGACATAGAGCCAGATGGTAGGGGACGTAGGACAGGTCCTCTGACCTCCACTGCTGCATGTTGAGGATAACAAAAGGTGGGGGGCCGTGGCAGAACAGCCTCTGAGAGAACTCCCTCAAACCGTCGCACCTGTTAGGAYGACATTCAGCCTGTTAGGATGAAACGAGAGACACAAAATGAACAATCTCACAGAGACTCACCCTTGTTCTGCGCAGAGCAGGAGCTTGGGACTGAAAAACTCCTCCACAGCCGACTGGATCGGGTCTTTGTGAGGAAGTTCGTGAGGCGGGCTGAGGGCAAAGCAGAGGATGTCAGAGAGATGTCTGACCTGCCTCACARCTGCTGGGATTAAGATAAGGAAACATCCTACCTGATGTTGATGGTGGTTTTCCTGAAGATCTGGAAGCGGCCCGGGCAGTCACAGTTGGTGCACAGGCTCTCCTGAGTAGTAGACATGAGGTTCTCCAGGTTCTCTGTGAARTTTTCGTGCTCGTTCCCAAACAGGTCTATCTCCAGGGCTGCCCGGTGGATCTCAGAGCGGTACTGTCTCTTGGACATCCTGTTCCAGATCCACAGCATCTTCACCGTGGTGTACTCACAGGAGTCCATCAGGTAGAGGAAATGCTCCACAAATTGCTTGCCCAGGAAGACGGCCAGCTCCCTGTGGAAACCCTGGTTGTCCCGCAGGATCACGTACAGGATCATGAGGAAGCCATCGATGGTGCATGTGTTTTTCAGCTGGACCTCCACGTACAGAGGGATGCACGATATGGCCTTCCGTCCTGCCTTGATGGTGAAGACGCCCCCCCATGGAAGCACAGGCCTCCAGAAGGAGCGGTCCTCTTCGTCATTGTTGTTTATGGAGGCACGGATTTCTTCAAACAAAGTCTTAGATCTAAAGAGACAAATGCATAATTAACAGAGGCTGAGCAGTTTGCAGCGAAGAGGTCCTGAGCTTGGATTCTATCATCAAGGCTAGGTAGCACTGACGTAAACAAGCASGTTTACGCCATCTAACGAGCAGTAGATGGCCGAAAACCGAATGTCTCGATAAATTAGCTCCTAAAACCATCTTACCTTTCGTTGTGGAAATTGTTCTCGGCGTTTGAAAATCGTGAGGGGTCGTTCAAAACACTGCTGAATCTATTCTCCATAGCTCTCTGTATTTCTTCATGACTTACGTCGCGCTTACAGCTCGATCAATAAGACGTGTAAATCGTGTTTTCACGCACGTTCCTGATAGATGTGAAGAGGGGGTGTATTTCGTCGGATCCAAACAATCTCGCTGGCACGTCTCAGGTTGGCCTACATAAACACACCGTAGGATTTCTGACGTTATTTGTGTTGAAACACGCCACTACCGMCCTCTGCTGGTTCTTTGCGGAAGTAACTGTCTAGCCACGCCCGTTATAGGGGTGGTGACACCAACACAGAACGCTATTGGTCGAATAATTCAGACTCTGTGTATCTGATTGGCTGCAAGTGTTGACATTTTTCCAGTAGTACCGCCYCTTTCACATTGTCAATGTTCATTGGCTAGCCTGCTACGTTTGGCAATGGGTGCTATTCTGGAAAGTTTTACGCTCAGTTTTTAGCGGTGATGTTGTTTTCGTGAATGGACACTACGTAAGCCCTTTCGAAATAATTTTAGGAAAGAAGTTTGCGCTCACACTTGACACAACACGCTCGTCTTTTTGTGAGCGAGTGTGCAGCGCTGTAGTCACCATCGGCTTCTTGAAACTCAGAATTTCAGAACGACAATGGCAGCTCAGCTCATAAGCGGGAAAGAGGTTTCAGCGTAAGTATCTGGTTTGATCTGGTGTGTTTCAAGAATGCACACATTTTTAGTGTTTAGTGCAGAGTTACAAAACTTTTGGCTAACTTAGCAGCAACAGTAATACCACGAGTCTCAGTACACTTAGCATTCAGGCTTCATATGTCTTTCAAATGAACCGGGTTTGATGCTAACATTTGATGTGGTAGCAGCTGAAGTTGTAATATGATTTAAAACTTGTTTTATAGTTGGTTTGCAAGACTCTCTCCTTGGGGGTATTTGCAATACAGTAGGTTACTGTAAGTGCATGAAAACTGAAATATAATTTTTTTATTTGCCCCTAATTGGTTAGCTTTGCAAACTAAGCGGATATTTTTGCAGTTTTATGTAACTTGTTTGGAGGTGGTTGTGGTTTGAACTTTGCCCCATTGGTCCACAAATAAAACTCAGCTGACAGAACATAGTTTAAACTCAAAACCTCCACATTTAAATAAAAGATCAATCTGCAAACTGTGCAATCCGTGGCTTGATTGTAACTATATCTTCCAAGTTTTAAATAGATATTTCCCCCTCTCCTGCAGCAGCAGCTTGCAGGACATTTGCAGCATGTGGCCAGTCACAAGACAACCTGCAGCTCCTTCATTGCACTTATTAGTCAAATTATGAGTCTGGACTGTCTCCACAGATCTACTGCTGTCCTTCGACTAGAGGCATCTACAATCTTGGAACATTGACAAAAGTAGCAGAACTGCAACTAGTCCAGAAATGAACCATTGCTGAGTCCTGCCTCAATGTCAACACAAGTGTGGTGCATTGTTTTATTTTGGTCAAACCTTTAAAATAATGTCACGTAAGATGTCACACTCAGAGTATGTGTTGCACATGACTCTCAGCTACCACCATGTCAGATTTGAGCTCAGTTTCTATCAAACTGACTGAGTTAATGGGCTTTTTGCCTTTGCTCAGATTGATTAGCACTGGCAGCCATCTTGAATTGGACTGATTGCTTCCTGAAAGTTTTSTTAAATTTGGCTTTGTGGTTCATGAAATATTTTAACAGACAAATGCGATGCCAAAGGTTGAAGCAAAAATGTTGTGTAATGACCAGCACTTGGATTATGTGTTGTGAATGACTCTTGGCAAAAACTATGCTAAATCTTAGCTCAGTTTCTGTAAAACTTACTGTGTTTTATTCATTATTGTGTTTCCATCTTAAATCAGGTTTTTGTAGATGAAAATCAAATATTTATTTCCTAAAAGTCTCATTTTAATCCACCCAGTAGTTTACAAGATAGTGCGCTAACAGTCACATGTACAAAGACATGATTAAAACCCAGAATATCAGGGTTTATCTTGTTTAAAGAAACAAAATGGATTTAAAAATAGATAGCATTTAACACGAGCTAAAGTCCACTTAATTTAGAAATTGATTTGCTCATTTGTCCTCAGCTCTGTTTAACTGCCTCACTCAGCTCATAGTTTTGGAATGTGTCCCAGGTTTCAGTCCATCAAACAAATAAAGATAAAGACAGTAAACAAARATAAGGCCGTTTCTCTGGAGGATTAGTTGACACCTTGTGGAGAATGATTACCAGTTTTTAACAAGACCACATCTGGTGTTTGGAAAATCTAAAACCTTTTAAAACAAAAATATAAGTTCTTTTTTTATTTTCCTACACAGTTTGATTGTAATGTTGCCTAAATAACTCAGATTAAACCCACTTGTTCTCTCAGGCAGGTGAGGCAGCGCCTGAAGAAGGATGTGGAGCAGATGAAACTCAAAGATCCAGACTTCACACCTGGTCTGGTGGTTTTACAGGTAAGTAGATGTTATTGTATGTTGTTCTGGGAAGTAGTGTTTCTGTATGACAGTGTTTTTTTTTTTTAATGTAAGCAGCGCATAGTTACTTTTTATGTTTGCAGGTCGGAGACCGCGACGATTCAAATCTATACATCAGCATGAAGCTGAAAGCAGCAGCAGAGGTAATCCAGATTATTTACTGTTTATCAAATGTTTCATGTTGAGTAGGAATGTTACGTTTGTTCTTTACAGTGTTTTAATCATTCCTGTCTGCTGCAGATTGGGATCAATGCAACACATATGAGGCTCCCAAAGACGGCAACAGAAGAAGAGGTGAGATTTGATTAGAAATATTAGTTCTGCTGGATAAACACAACGAAATTTAAAGATTTCTTTTAACGTAAAAAAATAATTCTGTTRCCAACAAGAAAAAATTCTCGTTCACTTCGTGACAGAAAATTACTTAAAAATATAATTTCCTATAAAAATACAGTGTCTGAATCAGAAGCAGAATACTCACTAAAAACCATAATTACCAAAATGCTAACTAAAACCTAAGAATAGCAAAATGCTATTTAAATAAAAGCAAAAGTCTATCTAAAAGTTAAGCTAAAAGTAGCACAAGGCCTAGCTGAAAGTTGTGCAATGCTAGCTAAAAAAAAGAAGCCAAAGGTTTCCTAAAATCTAAATGTAGCAAGATGTTAGCTTAAACCTAAAGTAGCTAAAGCATAGTTAAAATCTAAAAGTGGCAAAAGAGTAGCTGAAAGCTAAAGTCGGCACAATGCTAGGTAAATGAAGCAAAATATGATCTAAAATGTAAATGTAGCTAAAAGTTTGCTAAAACCTAAAGCAGCTAAAGCATAGCTAAAAGTTGTAAATAGTAAAAGTCTAGCTAAAAGCAGCAAAATGTTAGCTCAAATCTAATTTAGCTAAAGCACAGCTAAAAACTAAAAGTAGCACAATGCTAGCTAAATGAAGCAAAGGGTTATTGAAATCTAGATTTAGCAAAAAGTTAGCAAAAACGTAAAGTAGCTAAAGCAGCAAAATGTTAGCTCAAATCTAACGTAGCTAAACCAAAGCTAAAATCTAAAAGTATTGCAGTGCTCGTTAACAGAAGCAAAAAGACTTAATATTTTAGATGTAGCAAAAAGTTAGCTAAAGCCTAAAGTAGGCAAAGCCTAACAAAAGCTCAAAGCAGCAAGAGGCTAGCTAAAATCAGTTAAATGTTAGCTAAAATCTGGTTGTTGAAAAAGTCTATCTTAAAGCTAAAATAGCAAAAGGGTAGCTAAAAAATAAAAGTAACAAAAGAAATGCTAAAAGGTACAAAATACTAGTAAAAAATCAATCAAACTTAACAGAACAGTAGGTATAAATTAAAAGTAGAGGGCAAAAATAAAGTTAGCTTGCTGATGTGGTACCCGAGTGGCCAATTAGTAATAAAAAACTGTAGGAACCGTGAGCAGCGTTCAATAGACCAAGCAGTAAAATTTAACAGTGCTTTATTAACAAATAAAAACAGTAGTCAAAAAATGCAAGGTCCTAAGGTACATTGGTGTTCAGAGGCCAAGTCTGAAAAGAGGAAAAAATGTTCTTAGCTGGCCCGAGAGAGGGGYGCGGTCCCTTCCGAACTCAGTCCCGCCGGCACCAACCGCCGATCCTCCGCAACCACAGCGAATCCCGACGAATGATCCAAACCCTCGCACTCCAACGCCGGTCGTCCGCTCCTCGACAGCGATCCAGTCCTCGTGCTCCGACGCCGGTTGTCCTCCTTCCGGCAGCGATCCAGTCCTCGTGCTCCGACACTAGTCGTCCTCTTTTCGACCGCAATCCAGTCCTCGTGTCCCGACACCAGTCCTCTTTTCGGCAGCAATCCAGCCCTCGTGCTCCGACACCAGTTGTTCTCCTTCCGGCAGCGATCCAGAGGTGAAGACGCGGCGACGCTCAGTCTTTCAGTCCTGCCGCCTGCTGCTTCTGCGTCCCCTCGCTACGGCTCGTTTTCTGAAAAAGCCACAGCTGCCCCTTTTAACGTCCTTGTCCCGTTGCAC